CTTTTATGTTCTAATGTACCATTTCTGGGAAATATTGAATAAAGAATTATTATTTCATATACCTCATAACATTGAGTCTTTCCAGATCCAGTAGGCCCAACCAACATGAGCCCATGGCGTACCACAGTTGTCTCGTACAATTGAATACATTTGGTAACAAAACCATCAACATCCTCCAGGCCAGTTTTCAAGCATGTCTTACGGATCGAGTCTTCTAGAACACCATAGTCAATAGGCTGCTCTTTGACGTGCGGGAAAAGATCCGACACGATACCTCTGAACAGTTTCAAGTCGTCTTGCAAGAACTTAGGGACATTGACATCGCGGATTGCGCGCAGGACAATCAACTCTTCGCTCATCTCTGGATTTTCACGCTTTAAGTTGCCGGCTGCTGAGATGACAGTTTTGACAGCACGCATACCGAAGTCATAATGATCTTGCGAGCTTAACTGTTCAGACGATAGCTTAAACGTTGTTGTGATTTTCTTGGCCAAACTCTTGGCCTCGGAGAAACCAAACGAGAATAGACTGATTTCAGCGATGAGGGCGTAGTCAGGCACCATCATAGCAACGGGACGGAACAAGGCTTTTAAGTTGTCTGGTAACTCAGTTCGACCTGCATAACCGGGGTTCATTGTGATAAATACCGCGCAGCTTGGTCGAAGTGCTAGTTCGACGCCTTCAAACATGAATCTATCTACCCTGGCTTCAAGGGCTTGTTGGATGGTAGAAATCTGTTGGGCAACAACTGATAATACCTCTACGTCAATACGGTTGAACTCGTCAAAACAAGCCCATGCACCAGCACTGGCTAACCCTGAAAAGAAAAAGAAACCAAAGTGATGATCAAGAATCAAATAAAAAGAAGGTAAAAACTACAAAAAAATATTATGGAAACACAGCAAGCCCCAATAGACATCCATCCCCTTCAACATATAAATATATTTAGCCTTTTCCACAGACATCACTAAGAATCACGGGCTTTCTGTCTTTTTTGGGAGTCGGAAGATGGAGAATGCGGGCGAGGGAATGGGCTTATTTGTCATTTCTCGTCACTAGATTCTAGCGGCCAAGGTTACGAAGGAAGCCCAAAGAGGAAAAAAAGAGCTGCTTGGGGAGAAGGCTAGTGAATATACAAAAATAAACATAGACAAACAGGTAGAAAGTTGATATATAAAAAAATAAAAAAAGTAAATGTCCAAAGGAGGATGGTATATTAGACTTGATGTATGGTGGTACTGATTTAACGCCCTTTGATAGGGTGATCATAGAGCATTTAAACTGGTTTGTATTAACACTATGTTAAATTTCAAAAACATATTTGTTTAATCACACTTAACACATAACCAGTAATCTTATCTGTAATACACCCTTTTAATAAGTCCTGAGGTATTGTTTTTTCTCCGCACTTGACGTCAAATTTATTCTTTTGAAATTTTTGCAATACAAAAGGAATTCAAAAGAATCAATTTGACGTCAAGTGCGGAGAACGTAATACCTCGGGACTTATTAAAAGGGTGTATACCAACCTTTAAAGAACTTGCCCATAGCCATAAAGTCCAGCTGATCAGAGCAGTTAAACACCACACACTGTACAGCCATAGCTTTACCAAGATCTTTAGTAGTTTCGGTCTTTCCTGTCCCAGCAGGACCAGCAGGCGCACCACCAAACTTCAGATGAAGAGCTCCAGTCAGTGTCAGGTAACAGCGGTCTGTCAATGGAGTGATGACAAGCCGCCCTGTGTTACCTAGGTATTCGTAGCCATAGTCAAACTGGGCATTGACGGCTCGGATAACCATGTTGTCCTCTTCCCAGTAGTATCTAGGGAAATCATTATATACGTGATTACAGCTATTTCTGACTACGCTGAATGACGAAGATTCTATTCCAGAGCCCGAAGTGCATTATTGTTTGCTCTACCGGCGTCCAAAAGACGTTTTAGTGGTTTTAGAGTGACTGTACCAACTCTGTAAAGTTAATAATTACAATGAGAAGCAACTATGTTCCGAATTGCCATTTTGTTAGGGAGCTAACAAGGAGTTTAAAAATAGCAATGTATTGCAGTGTTGTTTTTTGCTTTGTTTTGTTCAAGATTGTATGTTTAGCCGCAAGAATTAACAGTAAATATTTCGCTATACCGACACAGCCAGTTTTTTTTTATGATTAATTAAAAGTTTTTTGAAGCTGTCTTCTAAAGCTTGCTATGCCTCATGGACCTTTTTTCATCGTACATGCATATATATACATACATACCTTAGTTGACTGATCCATTCAAAATCGTTCGCAGACTTTACTCCTTCAGCTACCATCTTATCCACAACATCRCAGGCATGTACTTCAATGACGATAAGAGCCCCAAGAATCAATCGAGCAAGCTTACTTAGGTCTCCTCTAACAAGTGTTACMAGACCGCTTAGCTGGTCGTGAAGGGTRCAGGTCAAATCCTCTAGCTTGCCATCAATAAGTGCTTGGGTAACTTCTTTAGTCCAGAATGTCTGGCAGCCAGCTATGACGACTTGTCCAGGCCATTGCAGTACCCAGTCTGTACGAGCCATGTCTGGATATGCAGCCAAGGCCTTACGGAGAATATCCCTTAGACTTCCTATTTACAAATAGATTGAAACAAAAAATTATCATGGCGTATTGAGACTGATCTGAGACAGAGTTCATAAGTTTGTTTTCTATGTTTTCTGTTGTATAGTCTGAAGAGGTCTAACATAAGCCTAGAGCATTAAAGGATAGAGAAGAGAAGCTTTTTTGCTTATATTACAGTGTATTTTCATTTTCAAATATAATCAAAAGCTCGTAACGTATGCAGTTAAAATTTTAAGCGAATAAGAGTATATTTACGACTGTTTTTTGTTTGTTTGTATGTTTCAAAAATTAAATCCCTTGTTAAAACTTCATATCTGATTTGTTCAGAATCAACAGTGACGATCTTTTTCTCATTCACTTCATTTCATTGAAACATCATCATCATCATCATCGTCGTTGTCGTCGTCGTCGTCGTCGTCGTCGTCATCATCATCATCATCATCGTCATCACTATAATCATTTAACATCATCATCATCATCATACCTTTCATAGTGTTCTCGACTTCAAGAAGCCARTCYTCCACATTGCCRGTAGGGTAGAGTTCAGTCGAAAACTGAACGCTCTCACCCTCCCCAGAGAACATGGCAGAGATACGCAGGTCATCTTCAAATGAAAGTCTTGAGATGTTTTCAAAGCATTTGCGTAAATGAGGTTGGACAGCAGTAGGGTCTTTCGTTTGGGACAAAATCTCCAGAAGTTCGTCGTCTGACAAGAAGTAGAATCTTGGGAAAGCTGAGCGCTTGGTTTCAAGGTACTCACTGAGACCTTTTTGCACCTGAGAATTGAATGAAAGAGAGCGAAATGTCGAATATTGATAACTTATTACAATTATGATCAAAGAAGTGAAATAGAATAGAATAGAATAGAAACCTTTATTTATTATAAGGCTCAGGGYAACCCTTTCAGAGCCCCGAGGGGCACTGCTATCAATAGGGGCCCTGGAAATGAATTAATATACCASAACTACAGCGAGTCTATTACCGGTTTTTAACTAACCTGTTCCAGTAGTTTATTGCACTCGCGCAAGCTTTCTAAGATAGTTGCATCGGGACAGAGAGAAATCACCTATGAAAATAATAAAACAAATCTGTAAGGTGAAATTATCAAAAAGATCCGATTTCGGGGTTTTGAATGAATCTCAAATATTGCATAAAAGTGTTAGTAGTTTGTTCAATCTTAACGCAGGATTATTAAAAACAGCTCGATGAACTTTGCATTTTTTTCCCCTTCAAACGGCGAATACACAAATAAACGACCTAMTTACCTGAGGGTTATTTTTCGCAGAGTTCATGACCTTTCTCCATATTCTCTCCATAGTCTGGTATCGTTTACTTTCAACAGGTAGCTGTCTATTGATGTCCTCAGAGCTGAAGATTGGCTCAAGGTACAGCCAGTTACGCTGGCATGTCAGCCACTCGTCCATCACATCCTATAAGAGAACACAATATGTCGACTATATATCTTTTCTGTAAGTACCGCAAATTTACTGTAACTGGTTACAAAACCGCGAATGCACTTCCTTCTGCCTTTTCTTTAACCTCCCCCACGTCCAGCATATGTACCCAGGGTTCGTGCTACTACACTGCTTCGAATTCCGGAATTCAGCGTTTGGAATCTGGAATTCTCAAGTTCTCTAAGCGTGGATTTCACTAGCGCATAAGTATAGGCATAAGCACGAAAGTCATATGCGCCAGTGAGAACGGGCTCAAAATAAGCATAAGCATAAKCACAAGAAAAACGAGCAAGGCTTGATCTTYTTGTGCTTATCTCATGCTTATGCTCAGTGAGAACRGGRCTGCAWAGGCATAAGCATAGCCTGGTACCGAAATAATACKCTCKTGCGCAYGCTCAATGTCTTATGSTTATGTYGAGCCCGTTCTCACTGGSGCATATGATTCTCATGCTTGTGCTTATGCTATGCTTATGCGCTAGTGAAATCCACGCTTTACAYGGGGCGATAAAAATGACCCACAGTGTATAGGRGATGTGGGCTTAACCACTGYCTCCTTCGCAGCCTTTCCTTTTGTCGGCCTTGGGTTGGCTGCCAAGGAGGAATCTCGTAGTCATCGCTTTTTTTCGATGARCATCATTCTTACCTGTGTCATGACAAGTTTTCCTTCCCAAGTAGTGATTCGGTCTTCAAATGGTTTCTTGTAGGGCGAGAACGACATGCTCTGGGTCATGACAATGTGGTCATCAAGCAACTGAGAGCAATCTTCACTGACTTTCATAATAAATGTACCAGTATCTTTGTATGGGACAATCTCAAGARCAACAGGCTTCCATTCACTCTCCATCTTATCTAGAGCCTACATGGAAATAAAACGTACTTTTTATTAAATGGATTTACGCATATGTTTTATGCACGATGGTGACAATATTCATGGAATATTACTTGCATTCGCTGATCTGTGCTTGGAGTGAATAATATAAACCTTAGTGTTTCCAGAGCAGTATACCCAGAATACATTAGSYTTCGTAGCGGCTMTAGGRAAGGGGGRAGGGRGGAAGGGGGGAAACGGATGGGGAGGTGGATTCAGGGAGGAGGGGAAAAACAACCCCTGCCCTTCCGTTTCCCCCTCCACCCTCCTCTATAGCCGCGACGCAGGCTAAGAATACATCAGATGCATTTCAAAGGCATTATTTCCATACATGTAGTTTAAAAAAAGTCTAGATCGCAGCAAATTCAATGTCTATTCGACCAGTAYTCATCCTCTCCAGCATTTTAACGATCTTTAACGGCCCTTTTAAAGGSCCCTTGGAAACTCAAACCTTCAAGGAGTAGCACAAAGCATTTCAACAAGGTGGAATACTTTCGTACTTATCATACACTGATTAAGAATGCAATAATAACCTGTTCAATGGAGTATTCCTTGCCAGCWATTTCTGCAATCTTGGCTATGACATCAATGTGGTTCTGGAGACCCATCTCAAGACATTTCGTGAATGTCAGCTGAGCATTGGCTACCACAGGGAACCCAAGATCTTTAGACAGCTACATTAGAACAAATGATTGAAAATTAGAAAAGTATGTACACGTAGGCATTCGCACTTCATACATAAATTTCTTCCTTTTTAGAAACGGCAAAAATACTTTTATTTTCGCTTAAGCTTTAAGCAAAAAAAAGGTTAAAATATGAAGACATTTTTAGGGGACATAAAAAGTATGAGGTCTACAACTAAAATCATACTTTGCTGCACAAAATGGCGTCGCTGCATGAACATTGCCTATTCAGAAGACACCACGCCTCGAACGCACTTGAAGTTGAAAAAAACTAACTATTTTCGCTAAATTTCAGATGCAAAAAATGTGTTTAAAAAACGTCATTACAGCAAAGGACAATTTCTGACTGACCATAAGCAATTTAATCGGCCGATATGATCACCAAGTATCACATTCTTTAATGTATTTTAGTAAAAATACCTGTTCCCAGTGGCGACTTCTCATCCCCGGGTTTCTCAAACCTTGAATCAAAGGTATATACGGCTTGAAGGCCTCGATTTTCTCACGGACTTCGAAGGCAACTTCCTGACATGCTGGGATATCTTTGAAATGTTTGTAACATTTAAATATTGTCTTGAAAGAGTTGCTGACATTGGCCTCCAGCTGTTCAGCATCAATGGTGGTCAGCGGATCGTTCATCCAGCTGTCATGCCATTTCTGCCAATCAGAAGCTGTTAGCCACATGTTCTTGAATGGCTCGAAGTCTTTGATGAGTTTGCCAAGCTTTTCATACTGTTAAAGAAAAAAAACAAAGTCAGTTAGTACTTGTTTAGAGGGGTTATTCTAAACGAGGCAGCATCTTCTTACACCAGAACCTCGTTTATCCGGCCAAAGAAGTAATGGGATGCCCGTGTATACGGGGTGCCCGAATTACCGGGGTTTAAAAGTATGTTAATTCGCCGAAAATGGCCGTTATGACGTGGCTGGCCGGATTAAAAGGGTGTCATCATAATACGGGTTTCAACTCTACTAACCGATGTTACTGGAAGATTAAACAGCCTCTCCCTGTTGTTATAAGTCTGAGCAAGCTGTTGGCATTCTTTCATCTGTTTAACCAACCGCCTTGTATCGTTAGCTATCTCATGTGCTTTGGTAATGTCAGTGTGGGCAGCAAAGCCAGCTACAGCCATGTTCAACGAGTCTAAACGATCCTGGAAAGCGTTCTGGTCAGCTAAGAGGTTCTTTTGGAATCTCTCTTCATCAGCCTCCAATGCCTGTTCTGTGGCATCCATTTGTTGTTGTATTTTATAGGGCCAGCTGATACATGTCCATCTAATATAGTAAAGTAAAAAAAAAACAACAAAAACAATCAGCTAACAATGTACTTGAAAAAAAACCCGGCAATTTCGACATTGGATGTCGTTTTATAAGGGAACCATTGGATTCCTGGGAGAAATACATTTGTTCTGTACAGCCAGGGGCGTATACAGGGGGGAGGGTTCCACAGGGTGCCCGTGGCTCCCCTCCCCACCCTTCCTAAGCCAAAAATGCGCGAAAACCATTGATATGACATCATATTGAAGTCATATGACATCGTCAATCATTATTAATCTTGGACACGTCCCTGACAACAACAGTTCAGCAATTGTTTGTCAGAATCGTGCTTTAGTATCCCATTCCCAGAAAAATAAAACTGTATCAGTAATACGTACTTTGCACTGAAATCCTCAGCTGATATATTATAATTAAACTCCTCGATAAGTTCATAGTCGACCATAGCTTTGTCGATGAGTTCTTGGTTCTTCTTGAGCAGTTCAGGGATGGTTTTCATAAACTCTCTCTGTTCCGCCAGTTCTTCGATGCTATTTGGTTTATCATACAGATTCCGYGCGATTGTCTTGAACTCCTCGCATACCTACATGTATCGCAATTGTAATTACACATAATTAGTACGTTGCTCTGAACACACAAATTCAGCCTGATGTTGTAAATTAAAGTTCCTTTTATCAACCGACATTAAATACGATCATTTTTCAAATTAACAAAATCAATATTATGGAAGAAATCTAGAAAGAAATTCGGTAGCGTTGGAAGTTGTGAATAACAAAAGCAACACACCAAACGAAGATTGGATTAGGCATATCAAAAAAATAAATGAATAAAATAAAGCAGTAACAGCTTTCCATGCTAATACTAATACAATATGCCACACAGTAAGAATTAAAGTGGATGCATGAAGAAAACTACCCCTTAACTTCCCTTCCTTCCAAATCCCTTCCCACTCTTCCCCAATCCCTTCTATTCACCTCGTCAGCCTGTTTCCTTAGTTTCTTCGCCAGCAGTTCAATAACAGCATTGGCCAATGTCTTTCTTTTCTTGGCCAGTTCCTTTCTAATTCCTTCAGTCATGACCGAGAAGGGRCCAATAACTATGCTGGAAGGCAGAGTGTTTTCTAGAACTTCTTTGTGCTGTAGATGGCGTTCTATTTCTTGTTTAACTTCAGCTGCTGAATGTTCTTGGGAATCGTATTGTCTGGTGACATAATATTTAAA